ACACCTATTTAGAGGCACTCTGAATCCAGTGGCGTAGTGATTTTTTCAATAAAAAAATCGCTAATAAAAAATCCCGATTTTCGACTAAGAAAAAATATCGTAGTATGCCCTGAAACTTTAATAAACATTTCAAATTTTGTCCCAAGGTAGACCTTTTAGTACTTGACATTCAAAAAAAAAATATAAAATCGGTTTACAACTTCAAATTTTAGGGGGTGCTTCCAATAAAAATGGGTCACAATTTTACCATGCTATTTACTAATGATTTAATCTGTTGAATAACTACAAACGCACCAACTTGGTTTTACTTTTACTTCAGGAAGGGTGGTGTATAACTTCAAATTTTCGCCCTTTTTCGTAATTGTATTATGCACTCTAGCTAAACAATCAGCACTAGGAACCCAACAATATGTAACCTCTTTGCAAATAGAAAATGGACTCAGACAAAATAATATGTGAACTCTCTCTAAATATCAACTGGTTACTAAAAAAAAAATAACAAACACTCACATAACGCCTCTTTGGGTGGTTCATGGTCAACCATAGGTTCCGTTGACCCAGTGTGTCTTCTACACCAACACTTTTAATTTAAACTCCCCTGTACCCATTACCGGTTTATGATTTCACTACCGATTTCTCTTAAATTTCGCAAACAAAATAACTCCCCTATTCAGGCCACTTTCCTCAGCTTCGAAGGCTGAGGGATGAGACCCCCGATCTCGTCTCGACGGGTTCCGGTGACTAACTTTTTGTGTCTCCCCGCAAAAACTCTCACAAGTCCTCGCGTCAACAACGTCACAAAAACCTCATCTCAGCATTTTTTTAACCTTCCCAAGCGCGTATGATCATCGGCAGAAAGCAATATCATTCATTTGTTTAGTCTAGTCCAACTTGTACGTGATCACGACGACGCTCAAAGGTCCGACAGTTATAAAGTCGTTTAGCGCTTTTTCAACTGGAAAAATATCGACACCGAAGAAACGGGTGATCGACCTCAATCTCTATGAATGAAATTATATTTCACGGTAACCATCGCAATGGCACTTATTACACATGGAATGTTTGTTTTATTTTCCATTAACATTTCACTGAATCAAACTGAAAGGTATCAATTGAGGTCAGTTACAGTAACGGCGCAAGACGTAAATTTTCTCGCTTTCTGAGCGATTTTTTCTTCTTGTTGGAGATTGCTCGCGTTCAGCCCATTCCAAAAAGGGCAAGAAAATCTTCCAAACTACTAGAGACCAGTCGCTTTGCTATCAGTGATATCAAAAATCATGGAGAAAACCTTGAACCACCATGTCCTTGAATATTTGGAAGGGTTTAACATTTTGAGCGATCATGGATATGACTTTCGTAAAAAAAAGATCAACAGACGAGCTTCTATCGTATGTCATCCATATTTTGAATAACGCAATCGAGAAATATGGAGAGTCAAAAGCTGTTACACTTGTTATTTCTAAGGCCTTTGACTGTATGTGGATTGAGGGCTTGCTGGCCAAAGTTTGATGCTTATAGTTTATCGAATGATTTCTATGTATGGCTCTCCAGCATCCTGAAAGAGCGTTGATGGATATCTCTCGAATACTTTACCATCAATGTTGGTGTTTCCCAGGGATCCATATTGTCTCCAACCCTCTTTGTATTGTATATCAACGACTTATAGGGAAAAATCATGAATCCAATATATTGCTTGCTGATGCAGCGCACTTCATTTTGATTCCAAAACATCGACTACGGAGGCACATATTCACCGGCATCAAGAAGTTGCATATCTTAATGCGGATCTAGAAGTGATTTCGAGTTGGGGTGGTAGTAACCAGATTCAAAACAATATGTCTTGGCACAATCACGTCGCTGGAATTGCAAAACTACTTCTCAAAAGCTTGGAACTATGTTCCGAACCAGAAAACTATACATGCCTCAGCAACTTTTGATGCTGTATAAAGATCAGATCAGACTTTCTTTGGAGTATTGTTCTGATCACTGGAGCTCCACCCCATCGAAGGCTGAGGGATGAGACCCCCGATCTCGTCTCGACGGGTTCCGGTGACTAACTTTTTGTGTCTCCCCGCAAAAACTCTCACAAGTCCTCGCGTCAACAAAAACCTCATATCAGCGTTTGTTTAACCTTCCCAAGCGTATGATCATCGGCAGAAGGCAATATTATTCATTTGTTTAGTCTAGTCCAACTTGTACGTGATCACGACGACGCTCAAAGGTCCGACAGTTATAAAGTCGTTTAGCGTTTTTTCAACTGGAAAAATATCGACACCGAAGAAACGGGTGATCGACCTCGAATCTTTATGAATGCTTCTATCGTATGTCATTTGCTGTTGCACTTGATATTTCTAAGGCCTTTGACTGTATGTGGATTAGGGGTTTGCTGGCCAAACTTCGATGCTTATAGCTTGTCGAATCATTTCTGTGTATGCCTCTCCAGCATCCTGAAAGAGCGTCGATGGATATCTCTCGAATACTTTTACGTTGGTGTTCCCCAGGGATCCATATTGTATTCAACCCTCTTTTTATTGTATATCAACGACTTATAGGGAAAAATCATTAATCCAATATATTGCTTGCTTACGACAGTGCGCTTCATTTTGATTCCAAAACATCGACTACGGAGGCACATCTTCACCAGCACCAAGAAGTTGCATATCTTAATGCCTATCTAGAATTGATTTCGAGTTGAGGTGGTAGTAACCAGATTTAATTTAATGCCACAAAAACCCAGGCATCGGTTTTCTACAAACAGATAAACCGAATATAAGTATGTCAAGACAAACAATTCCGCTTTCTGCTTCAATAAGTTTGTTGGGGATTAAAATGAACAATAATATGTCGTGGCACAATCATGTCGCTGGAATTGCAAAAGCTGCTTCTCAAACGCTTGAAATACTGTTCAGAACTAGAAAACTATACATGCCTCAGCAACTTTTGATGCTGTATAAAGATCAGATCAGACTTTCTTTGGAGTATTGTTCTGATCACTGGAGCTCCACCCCTAAGCATACCCTAAAGTTGCTGAATACATCCAGGAAGGAGCCATCTGCCTAATTGGGACGCGAACATCACTAGCAATGTTCACGTCCCTTTTATAGTCTGGAACATCGAAAAAAGGTTGGAAATTTGTCTCTCTTTTATCGATACTTTCACGGGAGGTTTTTAGGCACATTTGATTACACCAAAAACGGTACACATGAGAAATACGCGACGAACTGTGACTGCTCATCGTTTTGAGGTTCAACTCAGTACACCTCGAACTTCACTGGTCGAGAACTCTTCCATTTGGAGAACTGCGTGTATGTATGATAAACTTCCTGAGAACGTGGTTAGAACGTGATTAGAATATCATGAAATTTCAACAGCTTTATTTTTGGAGGTTAGTACTAACTGAAAAAGCAGTGAATGCAAAAAGACTAGCGCCATCTTTGTGTTAGGTCCGAGACTTCTCATCCCATGGTATTTATTGTTTCAAAATGGAATGCAGATTAGTTTGATTGATAGTGTATGGTTTTAAAAAATATTTTCATCGTTACGCAAAGTGGAAAAATTGTGAAATAGCTTAGTCGGCGGCAATCACGAATATTGATTAGATATTGCTGTTCATTAATCCATTAATATTGTGGATTTAGGACTGGATGGGTTTAATCCCCCTGGGCGGCACCTAGAATGTTAATATCGATGATATAATCTACGTGAATACTTCGGATGCATTTTGATTGCATTTTGATTGCAATTTCATTGATTGCAATTTGATTGCAATTTCATTTGTTTGAGGTGAATAGAGGCTTCATGTTTGTTATGAAAATAATTCGGAATGCTTGAGAATGGTCAGATGATGTATTGTGAATATCGAATTTTCAAGGGATAACATTTGTCAAAAAAAATAAACCTGACTACGGAAAGTAGACTTGAAAATCTGAATATATATAATAATACTAATAATAAATGGGCTGTTTTTTCGTTAATCAGCTGTCGCCCCCATAGAACGACAACTCTCAGAAGTTGAGAAACTTGTGCGAGCTAAGGGCTAACGAGGTCTTACCTTTTAACGTGTGAGTCCTAACACGGTTGCAGAATCATAACTACAGTTTCGTCCTATATGGACATTCTCAAACTTATACAATAAACTAACAATGATTCATTACATTCGCCAATATATACCATTCAGGTACTTGATTGAGTACCTGAATTTACAGTTCACCATGCGGGTGTGCCAATTTAAAAAACGGAGAGTAAATTAAATCGATTTGATCATTTAACAGGTTGCAGCCGCAATGTTTATGCTTGTGGATTTCCAAGGATTCTAAATAATTGAGTTTGCAACCTTTCCTTGCATAGTGCAGAATTTCCGTATCGTTTAAATTCGGAAACTTGTGGTTGCATGCCAAGAAATGGTTTCCAAAAACGGTATGTTCAGCATACCGTTTTTAGAAATTCCGTCCGCATTGTTCCACATAAACACTATTACACTCCGGACACTTAAGCTTATAAACTCCAGATTTCTCCAACTTGTCCACCTTATCTTTGGCGTTGAAAAGGAAATGAGATAACCTGGCATGTGGTCTGAATGCTACTTCCACATTGTTTTTTCTGAAGAAACCTGCGATTATTTCTGTTCTTTTTCCAAAATATGTTAGCGTTACCCATTTCTTGATTTCTGGTTGGTCAAGAAAAAACGGTATGCTAAACATGAAAGGTCCTTCAGACTAGGAAAAAATGATTCGACATTTTCAAAGCATTCCTTGGCATGCAACCACAAGTTTCCGAATTTAAACGATACGGAAATTCTGCACTATGCAAGGAAGGGTTGCAAACTCAATTATTTAGAATACTTGGAATTTTACAAGCATAAACATTGCGGGTGCAACCTGTTAAATGATCAAATAGATTTAATTTACTCTCCAGTTTTTAAATTGACACATTCGAATTGTAAATTCAGCTACTCAATCAAGTACCTGAATGGTAAGTGGTAACAAACACAGAAATTTTCATTTCTCTTTTCATTATGATCTCCTACCACGTAGTAAGGGCTACCTCCATCAATTTATTATAACATAAATATATTATCTATCCAGAAGACTTCAGATATGTTTTCAACTTTTGCTTGAAATTATATATGGAGTAGTGTCTAAATTCATTGGGCAGAGCATTATATTGTTTTGTTTGATAGAGTTGTAAATAAAACTACGAGAGAAGCAGGCTGTCGAATTATTGATCATCCATTCTGAAAGAAACATACACCACTAAAAGGAAATCTGATAATCAACGTAAATGTTTTATTGGTCGACACACAATTGAATTTAATCTTTTTCCTCTCGAAAACACCTTCTTCCACCTATAGATTCATTCTCACTTTTACAAATTGACAGAAAAGGCAATTCGAATTCAAGATTTCTAGTCTCTGTTCATCATCTGTATTATTTTGAATAGGCATTTTATATTCTTTTCGGACTCAACGAATAAAATGGCGAATGCGCACCCGTCATTTTGGCGGGTGATTTAGAAAAATCCGGCACATTAATATAAAAATTGTTCATCCCTGTTCAACTATTTTTTATATTCTTCTCTGAATAGGAAATATCTCTTTTGATGTATTCTAAGGGGATCGAGAGGTAAAACTATAAACGTCGAGTATCATGCGAACTTTTTGCAATGATTGAGTGAAGAAATCAAGCAGAAACGGCCGCAGTTGGCCAAGAAAAAAGTGTTGTTTATCAAAATATTGCACCAGCTCACTCGAAATAACCAAAATTAACGAATCGAAGTTTGTATTGCTACTTCATGCATTCTATTTGCCGGTTTTAGCCCCTTCGGATTATTTTCTGTTCCCAAACTTGGAAAAAATGGCTCAGTGGTCAAGGATTTTCCAACGATGAAAAAATGATGAGGGGCAAGACAGTTCTTATTATAAAAACGGTATCCAACTTATTGAACGTCGTTGGGGAAAGTGTATAGAGCTGCACGGATATTATGTTGTATAATGAATACAGTTTTTTCCAAAATATTTATTTTCTTTGTTGGGCCAGGTACTTTTGGTATCACCCTCGTATCTCTCCTCGATATAGTCTTCAAATGGTTTTTGGTCCTTGTTTAGTTGTTTAATCCAAATATTTATTTTTCTATAAAAATCTGTGGTTGCCGAAAAAGGGAGGTTTTTTTTCAAAAAAATGTTTATCTACTTTCGGTTGAAACCCGTAAAATGGAAAGATTCGCCAGGTCGGAAAATCCTGTTTCGTCATTCAAAATCCTCACCTAATATAGATCCCTAACCGTCTCCTCTAATTGACCCGTCTTTACCAGATCGAAATCCGAAGAAAGATTATTTCGTTGGAACCGTTCTCTAATGGATTTCTACGTTTTCCTGCGATTCCGGATGGTTCGCGTTTGCGCGCGGCTACATGTTGAATTCATCCTTCATTCTCGATCCTCAATCCTGTCACGTTCGTTGCCGATCCAGCGACGGAATCGTAGATATGTCGTAGTGGATCGTGACGCGAATGCTTGATTGGTAATTTCGGCACGGCATTACCATCGCTGATTATCGACCCTTAAACTGACAGAACTGGGATGATTTTGTCTCCTACGTACAATGTGTTTTCCAGTTTGTTACCGGTGAAATATTTTTTTTTCAGCCATCATGATCAAATTAATTCAATTGAATTTAGTTTATTGCAATAAATGCAAGCAATAAATGCTTATAATTAGGGATTATAACTAACTACAAAGTATAATAAAATAACAGAAATAAGATATGTCAATTTTCACAGCCTGAGGAAGCGATTTTCCGGGTTTTTTGGTCTTGGTCCAAAGGTTTTTATGCCTGACGTTTCGTCTACTACTGCGGTAGACATCAAAGGCGATGTGGTAACCATTGTGGTACAAAAGGGTCAACAAACGTTATCGACTATTTACCTAATCCGGGTACAGGCATTATCACACTATACAGACTACCTGAGTCAACAAAAACACGCTTTACGCTATTTACCTGATCCAGATACGGGTATTAGCACACCAAACTACTTGAGCCAACATAAATACGTTTTATACAATTTACCTAATCCATGTACAGGTAATTAGCACACCAAACTACCTACGTCGACATAAATACGCTTTTCGCGATTTACCTGATCCAGGTACATCACACCAAACTACCTGAGTCAACATAAATACGCTTTACGCTATTTACATGATCCAGATACGGGAATTAGGACACCAAACTACCTGAGCCAACATAAATATACGTTTTACACAATTTACCTAATCCATGTACAGGTAATTAGCACACCAAACTACCTGCGTCAACATAAACACGCTTTACGCAATTTACCTGATCCACGTACAGGTATTAGCACACCAAACTACCTGAGCCAACATAAATACGTTTCACACAATTTACCTAATCCATGTACAGGTAATTAGCACATCAAACTACCTGCGTCAACAAAAAAATGTTTTACGCAATTTACCTGATCCACGTACAGGTATTAGCACACCAAACTACCTGAGCCAACATAAATACGTTTTACACAATTTACCTAATCCATGTACAGGTAATTAGCACACCAAACTACCTGCGTCAACATAAACACGTTATACGCAATTTACCTGATCCAGGTACAACACACAAAACTACCTGAGTCAACATGAACACGTTTCACGAAATTCACCTATGCCAGGTACAGGTAATAATACACTAAATTACCCGAGTTAACAAACTCCTAATACCTGTGCTAATACCTGTACCTCGATTAGGTACGGGTATTAGCACAGCGAGTTACCTGACTCAACATGAACATGCATGAAATTTACCTATTCTAGGTACAGGTATCAGTAAACCTAACTACCTGAGTCAACATGGACAAGCTTCACGAAATATACCTATTCCAGGTACAGGTATTAGCACACTAGTACCTGAGTCAACATAAATACGCCTAAGGTCTGTACCTAATCCAGGTACAGGCATTACCAGACAACCTGAATCAACATGAATACGCTTCACGTAATTTACCTAATTCAGGTTCAGGTATTAGCACACCAAACCTACCTGAGGAGTCAACATGAATACGTATTACGCAGCCGTAATATCCAGTCATCGGAGATATTAACTCATATATAAACCTCTGAGAAAGCTAGGCACTAGTCCCAGCGAAACGTCAGGAACAAATTACAAAAATCCACTGTCTTCAAACCCAGAAAATAGTGGCACTAGTTGTTGATTGCCTTCATTATTTTATTGCGTAAAACAAATCTTTTGGGTATTTGACTTTGTTTTGACACGTTACCATAAGTAGAATTAATTTATTACATCCATTTCTAATTAGCTCTTTCTTAGAATTTCTTATTGATGAATGGTTATTGGTAGTTGATTTAGGTTATCCATTAGTGAATGATATTGTGCTTTCATCCACATATTTGAAGAGAATTATTTGCAATTGAAGAAGACATTGTACACTCGAACACGTATCGCATTTAGTAAATTGTTCATGAGAAGATCCTACATTAATTTTAGTAAGATGTGATTTTTAGGACGCCTCCTTCACTCATGTCTCAGAGATTAAATTAAATTCAACTTGTGTAATATATTTTATTTAATGAAAACTAAAAATTAAATTCACTGTCTTCAGCTCCGATTTCTAAATAGTTGTCCCCGGCTAGTTCATCAAATTCTTCTCTTTGGATATCCAGAAAATGGTTGATTTCAAGCAACTTGTCTCTGTTCCTCTTGATTTCGTCTTTGGTCAAGTTCTTGGTGAAGGTTTCCAACCAGTGTTTAGCCCTTTCAACTAGAGTATCCTCTCTACAATTATATTAATTTGTTAGTTATGGCCTGTATCAATCGCTAGTCATCTGAAACTACATTCTGTAGTTTTGTTACTTATATAATTTCTGTATTGCTTTCAATACCGAAAATACCAGCGAACTCTAAAGTTTTGTTTCTGTGTTGAACATGCGAAACCGAAACGTACATTATTCAGGAATTTTCGAAGTTCAATTTGCAACAGAGATAAATCATTCCGAATGTTTTGTTTTGAACTATTGAAAGAATAATTTCCAATATTTATACACAAATATTAAATTATGATGTACTATTAAGAGTTTGTTTACTGAATACATTCAAGTTTGATTAAATGAAAACACATACTTTGCAGTATTTTGCTTTGATGTGTTTTAGGCGTTTGTTTTTTACGATGTTTTGTGTTGTTGTTCATCTGCGTAAAATTACGTGATATACATTATTCACAGAAATATCAGGTGAATGAAAAAGTGGGGAAACAGTGTAATGTTATTGAATTTTCAAACACCGAAGTTCCAAGAAAAAATTCTGTAGACAGGGTAAGAAACTGGGTAAAGCCAATCATTTTTATGATCATAGAAGTATGATTTTCATGGGATCTGCCCACCAAGATGCCCAAGAATTCCTTTGATATCTTTTAGAAGGTTTACATGAGGACCTCAATGGAATTACTCAGAAACCTAAACCGATCTTAACGGAGATTGACAAAAAATTGAGCAACAGCGGAAAAGCGCAAGAGTCCTGGCTGATTTGAACATGAACACCTCCAACACCTCAATTGAAATCTTCTGTGGATACCCATCAGTAACCTTCGATCCTTTCTGGGATTTGTCTCTTCCTATACCACAAAAAACTGGCCAATTGAGTTTGTCATAATGCTTGGATTTCTTCACAAAAGAAGAAACCCTGGATGGAGGTGAAAAACCGACCTGTTACGAGATCCAAGGAAAGAAGAAAATGTACAAGGTTCCTATCAATCCATGAGTTTTTCCGTATTTTAGTAATTCATTCAAATTCAGATTCAGACACAAATTGAATGTTGATATTGATTTTTTTCAGAAGGATCAGATATGAGCAATTATATAGCAGACAATGTGGTTCCTTGTCGTTACAATCTATATGCACTTTCGAATCACAGTGGGACTACTTACAACGGGCATTACACCGCATATTGCAGACACCCTTATATTGACACGTGTAATGAATACAACGATTTCCACGTGTTCCTAATTTCACAAAAATCGCTCGTGAGCGAAGAGGCATATGTCTTCTTTCATGAACAGGAGGGACATAGATTTTTTTTTCAGAAGGATCAGATATGAGCAATTATGTGGCAGACAATATGGTTCCTTGTCGTTACAATCTATATGCACTTTCGATTCACAGTGAGACTACTTACAACGGGCATTACACCGCATATTGCAGACACCCTTATATTGGCACGTGTAATGAATACAAGGATTTACACGTGTCCCTAATTTCACAAAAATCGCTCGTGAGCGAAGAGGCATATGTCCTCTTTTATGAACAGGAGAAACATAGATTTTTTTTCAGAAGGATCAGATATGAGCAATTATGTAGCAGACAATGTGGTTCCTTGTCGTTACAATCTATATGCACTTTCGAATCACAGTGAGACTACTCACAACGGGCATTACACCGCTTATTGCAGACACCCTTATATTGGCACGTGTAATGAATACAACGATTTACACGTGTCCCTAATTTCACCAAAATCGCTAGTGAGCGAAGAGCCATAGTGTCCTCTTTCATGAACAGGAGGGACATAGATTTTTTTTCCAGAAGGATCAGATATGAGCAATTATGTAGCAGACAATGTGGTTCCTTGTCGTTACAATCTATATGCACTTTCGAATCACAGTGAGACTACTTACAACGGGCATTACATCGCATATTGCAGACACCCTTATATTGGCACGTGGAATGAATACAACGATTTACACGTATCCCTAATTTCACCAAAATCGCTCGTGAGCGAAGAGGCATATGTCCTCTTTTATGAACAAGAGGGAACAAAGCAGCAATTTTGAGGTGTTTTTTTTTCTCTTTTAATACGCTAAATTCTGTTAATTGATTTGTATTTCATAATTCTTTTGTCAATACATTTGAAAGACTGAGTTGAAATTTTATATAATAGTTAATGATCTTGATGTAAGAACTTTTGCAGAATTAATGAAATGAAGTTAATTGTGGAGACAAGGTAATGTTGTCAGAATTCATAATTTTCATTTGAACTAAAAAATATGTTCATAATGCTGTTTTTTCTATTTTTCCTTACCTGTTATCGATGATTTGCAAATGAGCATCATGGGTGGTAGCGATGGCATTGTTCAAAGCTTCCTTGTCCGACATGATTGATTTCAGGACATCTGGTACCGTAATTTCTCCCATGTTGGCCTGTGTTAAATACCTAGAACTGATATCTGATATATTTTCGGTATAAATTACTTCCTGCTCGCGAATCTGTGCAAAAACCGCCTGAGCTTCTTCAATGAAAGCGTTTATCATGTCGGCTGAAAAACAATTTACAATGAAGAACAAATTCCCATTAGATTTCAATCAGCTATCGCTCATTTTTTGCCTCTTTTCAACTTATTCAACTTATTAGTACTATTTACAGAAACTTACCAAGAACGTGTTCGAAATTTTGGTTAACCTCTTCCATCTGTTCAAAGAGTTGCAGTTCCAACTTCATCAACTTTTTCCACGTATCGTGGATGATACCGTTAAACATCACAAAATATTCGTCAACTTTTTCTTTGTATTTGTCAATATCTATGACGTCGTTTTCGAAATGTTTTGTCAAGGTGTTCAATTGATCAAACACGTCGTATTTTTTTTTCATAAACTCTTCCATATGATTGACGCTTTCTTCTTGGTTCTCCTTCTTGGCCTTGTCCACAGTAGTCGTAAATAGATTCACTTCGTCCATGCGGATTTTGTAGTGTTTCTGGCCAATTTCGAATACTTGTTGACACAAGTTTATGAATTGTTCTTCATATTCCATGTGAAAATCTTTGATTTCGTCGCCAATTTCCAAGAGAGCTTCTCCTGTGAATTTTCGAAGAGTTCTTGAGTTATAGATCATGGTTTTCATCTCCTCAGAGGGTAAAATGTATTAATGTCAAATGTTTGCGTGAATACAAAAAATATTCAGACCGAGGTGGGTTGAAGAAATGAAAATGCAGGGGATAATAAAATAAGATAAGAAAGAAAAGATAGGAACGCAATGTAGACATTCTTCAAAAGCCAATGATACTCAAAAAACACTCAGAACAGTGAATTTAACTTTCTCGGTAACAAGTTATAGACAAACAAGAGCAAACTAAATTTCTCTGACGAGGTGAAATACCTTGGTGCTATCCTCGACAGGAAGCTAACATGGAATTCTCACCTACAGAGTAGAACAAAAAGAGCATATGTGGCTTATGAGCAATGTCGAAGGATAGTGGGACGCGCATGGGGTCTTTCACCCCGTGTGGTCACCTGGATCTACACTGCAATAATAAGACCTATCTTAACGTATGGAACCATTGCATGGGGACCGAAAGTTCTACAAGCAATAATTGTATCAAATTCAGCGATTGGGTGAATCACAGGAGCCATGAGAACAACACCCCTCTGGTCTGACCCCTCTGGACCTGTACGCTAAGGAGGTTGCGTTAATTACCATGTTACGATTACGCACGGCTGGTGTAAACCTCGAAGTAGGAATGGGTCAATTGAGGCTGAGCCTATGGCGAGAACCGCTTACTGCGCAACCTCTGCTGCAGGCAAACGGGGATGCAATTGAACCCAGGTAGCGATGACCAGGAAGAGAAGATGAAACTCTCAGGCATGTTTCCACCTTTTATACATATAATTTATTGAAGATTCTGTGATTCTGATATTACGTCGTAATGTACTTTACCTTCAATATCGCCATCAAATAATAGATCGAAGAGGTACCTAGAATTGAGGTACTCCACGAAACTCAGGGAGTGTAATTCAGCATCCTTTCTTTGCTTTTCGGTTATGGCAATCCTCGAATTTTCTTCTTCCTCAAGTTTTTCTATATTTTGCAATTGCTTCGAAAACATTGCTAAACCTGAAATATTTTCAATACATGATTAAGTGAACAGTTCGAGTTTTAAGTGATCTGAAGGGTAATTTATTAGATTATCAGCCCAATAAACCGAATAATCTTTGAGATGGCCACTACGTAATTGGTTCTGCATATTCTTTGAAGCTTAGGGGTGGTTACTACAACTGGTGTGAATGACTCACTAACAAAACGTCAGCTTTTTAAGAAGGTTTGAGGATTTTTGTAACTGAAGGAATCATCGTGACTAATAACCCCAAGACTGAAATACAGCTCTGTTGCTTATATCTGATGTAAATCTAGCCTCAACCATTCGCTCGTCAAGGCATACAGTAGCGGAATGAAGAGACTGGTACAGACTGTCAGATTCCCACATCAGAGGAAAGTAGCTGGGAGAACCTTAATTCAATTCAGCAATGTTTCCTGAAGGTGAATCAACGAATCAGGGTTGAGTCGTAGGGTGAGACACTATATTTGACGGAGATTGTACTATTGATTCAGCATAAGCAAGGTGATCCATCCTCACAAGTATTAAAAATCAGTGAATTGGCGCAGGTGGCTCCCTAGGTGGCTCGAGACAGGACACGACGCTAATGACCAATGGAGTCGATGCCGATGACACCCCAAAATAACACTGAATATCACTGTAAATGTTTATAGATGGCATCCAACTAAGATTCAATTTGGTGACACTTTTCAATACTTTGGGTTAAATTCACATGCATTACTATATAATGTCGTTGAACGATTTTTGGCCAAGTTTTCTTTCCGAATTCAAATTGAAACAAAGCGCTCACAAAACAGCCCGAAAAATTTACCAGGTATTTGGCAATGAAAGGGTTGATGAACGCGTTGTTCGGCGTTTGCGAAATTTCGCTTCGGAGATTTTAGTCTCGAAAATGAACCCCGAAGTGGTCGACCTACAGTAATCCAGGACGAGGATTCGAGGACCCTGGTGGATACTGACCCACCACAAACGGTGCGTGGGATGGCGGAAGAACTGAGCGTCAGCTCACATTCTGTTTTTGATAGTAGAACGTATTGGATAGCTCGAAATTTGGGTGCCCCACACGATTTGAACGATCGACAGGAATTGTCACGTCCCAAGGTCTGTTGTCAAGTTTGGAAATCGGTTATTCTTTGTTTTTGTACAACCAAAACGATTATTTTTTGGATCCCACCATACTCCCCAGAGCTCCCGCCAACCGACTACCATCTTTTCCACTTTTTCACTGGTAGAACCTTCGCCAATCTGGACCCGGCAGAAAATGGCCTTCATCGATTTCATAGAGTCCCGAGCAGCCAATTTTTATGCTGATGGAATCAAAAGACTTGTGTTACTTTAGTAAAAGAGCATTGATTCACTGATATATTACAGTTAAACGCAGACACACTCTTCAAAACACACCTACCCAGAGTTGGGTGTTCCACAAGGTTCCGATCGGAGCTCTATAAGAAAATACTCGGGATTTTGCGCCAGAAGTCTCTTTGTTTATCTACTGATTTGAATTTTCCGCTTTACGCAGGGTAGCTTCTGATTGGTCGTCTGCATGACGGGAAAAGTGGAGGAGTGGGCTCTGAAAGTCTAAAGCCCAATCAACACAGAACAGACGTCTGGCAGAGACGAGGCGCGGACCATCGCCAGAATGCACCTGCTCAAATTTGCACGTGTTTTCCATAAAGAATGGCTTAGAACTCCTATAGCTATATTACTACCTACCATACTATTTATCCGGCACCAGTAAGTTTAGGAACGCAACCTTCGATGTTTATTCTTAAAAGAAAAAAATTATTTACTTTACCCTCTTCTCTCTCGGTTTCCTCTATCCTTTTATATTCATAATAAACAAGCTGTGGCAGAAACGCTGCTACGTATATTCTGAAATTTTTCTGTTCCGCGCAAGGATTGTGAGCCATATTCAAAGAAGTAAGTTTGGAAAATTTCCTGAGGTAGTGAATGTTCTTCATGTCATCGATTTTATTTTTTCCTATTGTGAATATTGTTAATTTTGTTAACGTATCCATGTTTTCAATTTTTTTCAGCAGATTATCGAAGAGGCTCAGTTTTCTTAGGTTGACGAGTTTATCCAGATTCTCGATTTTGTTAATTTTATTGAAGGATAGATCCAATTCTTCAAGCTTCACGAGTGTTTCCAAATTTTCGATTTTCTCGATGAAGTTATTGTTCAGTTGGAGTTTGGTTAAGGATTTCAACACCCACAAATGATCAATTTTCAAAATATTCATGAACTCGAATCGGATTTCTTCGATTTCTTCTTTAGGAATGCCTTCTTCTCGCATTAGTCGTCCAATTTCACCTGGAATTAATGAATAATATTGTTATCAAAACCATCTAATATATCCAAGTGCTTGATAGAACCCAGTCTGGCTATTTTCATTCAACAACACATACATCAGGCCAATAAACCGATGACCCGACTTCCAATCAACGTGATAAAAAATATAACACAGTCTCTGTTGCTTGATGATGTCCTCCGCAGTTGTAGGTGAAATGCCAGGCAACGTCCTGTCGAGTCAAAAAGCAAAGGTACCGGGGTTCCCCAAGGGAGTGTACTTGGCCCTGTTTTATTCATACTCTATTTAAATGACATAAATTTTATTAGTGACTGTGAATTTCTATCTAATTATGAAATTTATAAGGTACAACACACACAAACAATTCTGTCAAAAAAATGCAGTTTATTTTTATAACAAGTATGTGATTCTCGCCGGAGCTTGGTGTTACAGAAAATTTATCGACTACCTTGTTGTAAAACAGAAAAAAATGTTGTACACTTGTTGAGGTTGAGCTTGTGAAGAAATGAAGCATTTGCTTGCAAAAAGGGCAGAAATTTTGTGCTTACATATAGGACCATATTGTTGTTCTATGATATATTCTCAATTTCATACTATTGAGCTACTATAACAATGCTTACAAATGTATAAATGTTAAATTCAAAAATGAGTAACTTTTTTTACGTGTTTCTTTAGTTGGTGTCGGTTCAAAATATGTTCAATAAAAAGTCTTAGTTTCGGCACCAAATCGAGCTGATTTTACTATCCAGTATTTTTATAGTCCAAGGGGAAATACATTTAAAACGTAAAACAAAAAATGACGTTCCAATATATAGGTACTCAAATAATGGCAAAATAAATATTTTTAATAAATAGCAACTGCATGGGTCAGAAAAAATGTCTACATCAAGATGTCTATATCAGCTCATTCATTATAATATTTACTGTAATTGATATTTTTTCAGTTATTGAGAGAATGATCTAAAGTTAAACTTAAATGTCAATTTCAATTAATATTCAAACTCAGAAACAGGACCAATAAATTTTCTACTCTTTTTAGTTTAATGTAGTCATTTAGAATTTTTTGTCTTACATTCATCACTTCATACATACAAATAATAAAAGGAAGATGTATCAGATCAATGAGGATAATTTACTATTGGAGGAAGCTTTTCTGAAGATGCAGTTTTTCTACAAGATCTGTCGCTGAATAAATCGATTAAGATCAACGTAAATAGACGTAACATTCAACTCAAACAGAGATTGGTAGGTGAATTTTTCGTCGCTGATCACTAGTTTGCATCCTCGGTTTAGTTTCCATTTAGACGCCTGTGGTTACTTACCATAGGGGAGCCCAAGCGGGGATTTCGGGATTTACTGAAGCGCGGCAAATTAATATACAGGGGGATACCTTGTACTCCGTTAAGTACCTCCACCAAATATGAACCCCATATATAAGGCCGCCCGTGAAGGATAAAGGATCAGATTAGTAAGAAAAAATTGATCATCAGAAATTCTCGAGCGCGTCAGATTAAGGTAGAGTGAGTTAATTACATGCTAAAAAGTGCATATTCCAGTAATCCGACAATTTGAGAGTGATGTAAAGAAAGGGGAGGGCAGCAAAGTTGTAAAAAAAACGTCATCTCGACATTCTCGAGCGTAGCTGATTTTTTTTTCATTTTGACGAAAATAATTCAAGAATATCGAAAAATATATAATCTAACGATTTCCGCAAGCCGAAATAGCAAAAATTCGTCGAGAAAGTTTAATGCGTGCAGCTGCGTGATGCCTATATTTCCCTCTCCGCGTTTTTATTCCTTTTTCACTTTTTCTCTATCTATTACTCTCTCACTCCGTCCCCACTCTGAATTCTGTTGCCATCACAGCTGATCACGGAGACTCGTTCGTGATGAAGATGACGATGATAATTAATTAATCAATTAATTGATGGATGTAGCCGTTACTACGTGGTAGGAAATCTTAGTGAAGAAAAGAGAAATGAAACTTTCTGTGTTTTTTACCACTTCTATTTGTAACTAACGTTATTGTAGTTTCGTCCTATAAGGACATTTTCAAACTTATATATTGTATAAGTAACAGCAGTAACGTTAGTTACAAATAAAAGTGGTAAAAAACATAGAAAGTTTTAATTAATCAATTGAATATGAGAAATCAAATTTTTTTGAGCATTTTTTTCAAATTAATTTTTTATAAATACAAGTATTCTACTTAAAAAACATACACTTATTTATTTGCATGCTATTTCCTGAGCTCTTCAATTAATTAAGTTCAATGATTAAAAAAAATTTAAAAATATTTCTTTGTCAGATTAGGCGAATCCCTCTAGATAATTGTCAGATTATGAGACAGTCTAAAACATAAAGATGAACCATATACAGCGTGACTCATGGTAGATGGTAGGTTAGACGTTTCTGGAAAACGCAAAGCATGATTTTTCTGAAAATTACGAATCAGGGTTGAGTCGTAGGGTGAGACACTATATTTGACGGAGATTGTACTATTGATTCAGCATAAGCAAGGTGATCCATCCTCACAAGTATTGAAAATCAGTGAATTGGCGCAGGTGACTCCCTATGGCTCGGGGTAGGACACGAGGCTAATAACCAATGTAGTCGATGCCGATGAAAGTATGTTGTCGATGCCAAATAAAGTACTGAATATCACTGTACATTTTTGTACATGGCGTCCAACTAAGATTCAGTTTGGTGACACTTTTCAATACTTTGGGTTAAATTCACATGCATTACTATATAATATCATTGAACGATTTCCGGCTAAGTTTTCTTTCCGAATTCAAATCGAAACAGAGCGCTCACAAAAGAGCCCGAAAAATTAACCAGGTATTTGGCAATGATAGGGTTGATGAACGCGCTGTTCGGCGTTTGCGAAATTTCGTTCCGGAGATTTTAGTCTCAAAATGAACCCCGAAGTGGTCGACCTACAGTAATTCAGGACGAGGATTCGAGGACCCTGGTGGATACTGACCCACCACAAACGGTGCGTGGGATGGCGGAAGAACTGGACGTCAGCTCCCGTCGTGTTTTTGATAGTAGAACGTATTGGATAGCTCGAAATGTGGGTGCCACACGATTTGAACGATCGACAGGAATTGTCACATCCCGAGGTCTGTTGTCGCGTTTGTAAATCGGTTCTTCTTTGTTTTTGTACAACCAAAACGATTATTTTTTTGATCCCATCATACTCCTCAGAGCTCTCACCAACTGACTACCACTGACCCGGCTGCCAATTTTTATGCTGATAGAATTAATAGAGTTGTGTTACGTTGGTAAAAGTGCATTGACTCAAGTGGCACTTATTTCGATCAAATTAAATAAGTATTCACTGATATATTACAGTTCAACGCAGACTCATGAAAACGGACAAAACTTTTGAAACAACCTAATAGAAGACATGTTTCAACCACACTCTCCAAAACACACATACCAAGAGTTGGGTGTTCCACAAGGTTCCGATCGGAGCTCTATAAGAAAATACATGGGATTTCGCGCCAGAAGTCTCTTTGTTTATCTACTGATTTGAATTTTCTGCTTTACGCAGGGTAGCTTCTGATTGGTCGACTGTATGACGGCAAAAGTGAAGGAGTGGGCTCTGAAAGTCTAAAGCCCAATTAACACAGAACGGACGTCTGGCAGAGACGAGGCGCTGACCTTTATCCCTTCCGTGTGAACAAGGCCTGAGGCCCAAAAATCGCCAGAATGCACCTGCTCAAATTTGCACGTGCTTTTCCATAAGGAATGGCTTAGAACTCCTATAGCTATATTACTACCGACCATAGTGTTTATCGGCACCAGTAAGTTTAGGAACGCAACCTTTAAAGAAATAAGTTATTTACTTTACCCTCTTCTCTCTCGGTTTCCTCTATCCTTTTATATTCATAATAAACNTGCTATATTATCTTACTTCTTTAACGAAACTGATGCAAACACTAACCTTTTGGGTATTGGTAATCTATGCATTTTTCTATCAAAGCGTTATTAATTACTCTCGGCTCTCTTGCTTTGCATGGCTCTGCCATTTTCAATTGAAATATTTTAGCACTAGACAACCAACTTGACAGGACAGGATATGAATGAAGACTGAAGTTTGATCAATCAACAACCAGTGTTACCTTGACAACCTCTACATTTTTCTGAGGGGATATGAAATATCTAAAGTGTATATGATGCACAAACACACTTCATAACTTGAGCAATGAATTTGAACTGAAACTGACTTCATTATTGTCATATGATGTACTTTTTTTGATTTCATTCATTGCGAACAAACAATAAAACAAATATGTTCTCTTTATAGTATTAGTCTCGATTCAGAAAACCAGGTCTACCCATTTTAGTTTTTCCTTTAATTCACTTCAGCAGTTCATTTCCATATATTTCATATTGATGTTTCAGAAATACGACGTACATCACTTCAAAAATGTTATGCGCTTTCTCGCGAATCTGTTATATAGTTCAGTTTTCTCGATTTATTTTGTTTATATGGAACACGATTCGAATTTTTCGATTCATCTATTCATTTGATAACGACTCTATACACGAAGCCTGAGATATATTTTATGCTGTTACAGCGTATCGCATGTTTCATTCAGACTTTTCACTCAAATATTGAATTTTTCCACCGTACACCATCGGTATACTCGAGTTTTCATGCATTCATTATAAGTAAAGGGGGTCTTGTTTCCTGGCGTGTTTCGAAATTGGCCTTTGGTCCAGGGGCCAGCGTTAAAAACACTGTATTTTTTGTTGTTCCACGTCTTTGAAGTTTTTAATGTGTTAATTATATTTCTTCTTTTCTTGGAAATTTCCCCACATTTTCTGTTTATTGATGGGGAAGTAGAAACTTGTGATGCCCTATTTGGAACCTTAAATGTAGTAATGAATATTACTGGAGTTTTTTCCCTCTTGAAGATGATCACTTGGTGATCGAAACACGTGTCGAGGTGTTAAAATAACTACAATATACCTTAGATTAGATTAGATTGTCGGGGAGCTGACCCATGGCCTGATTCACTACGAATTCTTCAGATCTGTCGTGATGCTCTTTGGTTGTTAGAGCTCATGATCTAGCTTGATCACTTTGATGAGACTCCATAACCTTGACACTGACCCCTTCATATAACTGGTAGCCTCTGGTTTCTCTCACCTGCATTGGGTTTAGTAGATCCACCACAACCTTATGATTGTGGTTTAGCAGGTGAATTTGGTGTTTTCAGGTTTTTTTGGACAAGAATAATAAGATCACCTATGAAAGATTCACATCGAGCACTGTCAGACCTTTTATTCATTTTTTGGTGGTAAAAAAAGCTTTCAAGGCATATTTATCTGATAATGGGAGAAATTCTTCGGAAAAACTATAGTTGCATCATACATATCATTCTTTGAGATATGAGCAGACACTTTAGAAAGTACCACGGAGAGCCGTAGCAAGTATATGAGAAAAAATATCAAAAATGATGATAACCCGTGAGTAGCCCTGATATTGTTGATATATTTTGGAGCAGTCTGAGTACTGAAATCTACAGTTCATTCCTGAAATTAGAGGATAGTTTTAAGCATTTTCATTTTCTCTGTGCACCAAAGACAGCTGTTGACGGGGGTAATAATTATCGAGTTTGATTGAAGTTAATTGAAAAGTAGATTCTGGATAAGTTAAGATTCAGGCAGTTACTTTCAACTGCTCATTTGTTCCCTCATTTTCGATTTACGTAAAGGTCTATCTCTATCAGTTCAATACTCGAATCTTTTGATTCGATATTGTTCCGAAGTAAGAGTTCTCCAGTAGTAATATCGTGATCAAAACGGCCTATAGCGGCGTATAAATATCTTTACTGTGAACGTTTTTTTGTATTAAGTATTGGTTTTTCAAACTTGATGTATATATATTTGCCTGTTTTTTACATTAGTTTCAAGCTTGGAGCTTCTTTGTTGACTCTTTGGTTATTTCTCCAACCCCTTCCCTGTTGAATCCGTTCAACAAGGTATTGATACATTTTTTTTAGATAATTTTATGATCTACAATTATTATTTGAGGTTATTTTATGATAAAACTTACCGCGAAAAACCAATTTTTTTCGAGATTTTTGACCTTTGACCTCGAATAAATTTTTTTCCAGGCATCGCAATCATTCGGACACGAGTCACCCATTTTCAGTTTCAATATTATTCTCAAAGCTCTATTCTCGATAAAGAATATAATCTGCATCAAAATCTGGCTGCCTGAGCCCTAGAAAGGAATTCCATACCGGAGATGACTCTCCATAAGTGAATAATATGCATTTATTGCTGCTGAAAATCCGAGTTCACGCGAGTATGATTCCAGTTTAATTTGTTTTTTAATTGTGATTAATCAAATTCTCTTCAGGAATTTTTATCCTACTTGAGACAACCTGCGAATTATTTTAGGTACAGGAAAAATTTAGTCCTGTTACTCTTGTTAGCGTGCTGGAAAATGGTGCAAAAAACAAGATGATGAAACTGTCTAACACTACGACCATGAAATGGAAGTGCCACTTAGGATAGATTGAACTTTTTGATTGAATATTCCATTTCCAATAAAATTCCATGAGTGGGCCATGCTTTTTTCGTATCTACGAGCGGTCGTAGCAATATGCTACATTGCTTCGACATGGAACAAAATGCCTTTATCTGTGATGTAGTATCGCATAATGTTTTATTGCCACATAAGTGTCTCCATAACTTGCCCGAAATTCGCAACGTTTTCCTTTTCCAACCCAATTTGTTTATCTTATGGAACTCGAGATAGCGATAGTGGACATACACGAAATTTACAGCTTGTATAAGATGTTCTGTATAATCTGGTCGAGAGTTTGGCGAAGAAAACATATTAAGAGATTGTGGTAATCAAGTAGAATCTATGAGGTTGTTTCAAAAAATCTTTACGTAATTGTTGGTCTCTTCAGCTTATTAGGTATCATATGATGTTGTTTTCGGCCAATTTTTCTCTACTAATTCAAATTGAACCAAAGCGCAGTCAAAACAGCCCGAAAAATTAACCAGGCCTTTAACAATTATAGTGATAATGAACGCTCTGTTCGACGTTGGTTTGCGAAATTTCGTTCCGAAGATTTTAGCCTTGAAGATGAGCCACAGTGGGTTGGGCTACCTATCGAGCGCGACCCCAGGTGACGGATAGGGGAACGGCCAGTGGCTGGAGGTCCCGTCCGGGAAGCCAATGTGGCCTTACGGACGGGATCGCCGGACTCCTGGTTAGTGATAGAAATAAGTGGGGTGAGGGGAACTAAAACCTCCAAAAGCCTTTGCAAAACATGCCACCGTGGACCAGCCTACCCAAGCTAAGGTGTAAGGAACGATCCCCTTGGGGAACTGGGCGGAACCTCATTGTAATCAGCCTACCTCTGCTAATGCGGGGCTCTGCCAGAGGTGACCAACTCTTCCCTTGCTACTCGTGGAAAAACACATGAATGAAACAAACACAAAAACAGAAACAACAAAAACCAATCCTGAAGCTGGACAGAAGTGCTCACCTCAATCTGAGGCAGTGACCGGGGATGAACAGGAATGTCCACCCCAATCTACCGCTTGGAATTATGCTGGACATAGCAGATCACCTCCAACAACAAGGCACTTCCTGCGGTGGGCGCCAAGGGCTTCGCCTTGAATAAAGGCAAAGAACCGGCTGCCCTTGCAGTAAAGCTCCGTAACTTGTGCATCTCCACGGCGGAAACCCCAAGAAGGTTAAAGAAGACGCGCAACGACAGTAATATCGCTGCACCTTTCGAAACCTTCGCGGAAGCCACCGTGAAACACCTCAAGATTGCCAAAAAGAGTGTGTGTTCGGCGAGTCTTCGCCTACACCTGCCGATATGAAGGAGATGTCTCCCAGTGACCTGTCCACCTTCCTGGAAAGGACAGGATGGACGATGACTTAGGAGGACAACTCCTCGGGAGCTCTACATATAAAGATGAGCCTCGAAGTGGTCAACCTAGAGTGATTTGACAACCCTGGTGGAGATTGATCCATCCAAAACGGCGTGTGGAATAGCGGAAGAACTGGGCGTCAGTTTTTATGGTTTAAAACGTATTGAAAAGGTCAGAAAACTAGAGAAATGGGTGCCCCACGATTTGAACTATCGACATAAATCATTACTTCAGTGGATCGGCTAGAACTCTTTACTTCGGATGTTATTAGATTGGATATAATCCGGTCAATCTAGACATTGCAAGGTACATAAATTTACAACAAGGTGAAAACGCGTGTAATTGTACAAAACATAGTTAAAAATAAGATTTTGAAATTCCGAATGATTGCGATGCCTGGAAAAAATGTAATCGAGGTCAAAGGTCAAAAATCTCGAAAAAAATTGGTTTTTCCACCAACCCAATTTTTCTCGAGATTTTTTACCTTTGACCTCAAATAATTTGTTTAGAGGCATCGCAATCACTCGGAATTTTAAAATCTTATTTTTAACTATGTTTTGAACAATTACACGCATTTGCAGTTTATTTTTTAGTCTAATTTGACCGGACTAATAGAACAACCGATCTTTTAATACAAGTATTCCATATTCCATGGGATTTATCTATACTGTATCACCAACTGGTTCAAAAGTTCTATAATTATATACGTCAAAACCATCACGAATTTGTTACTTTCCAGTACCTGCCGTATAGTTACTCTAAATTCCTGTAGGATCTTTCGCGGTTGTTGAAAGCTGCTTCTTATATTCATCGAATTCCGGATTAATTTCCAGTCACGCCATTATCACTTTAAGGAAATTGTATCGTTTTCAATTTTATTTTCTTGAAGTAGTTGCAAATCTGTTCTATAACGACTAATTTCTCCACTGACTTTACACTATGATTTCTCCACTTACACGATTTTTGCTACACGAGTTTCTCGATGTTGATGAGATCTCGCTCCACTCCGCCGGATGGTTCACTGTGCGTCCAATATTCAGTGGCACTGCTAGATTTGTCGAACTGAACAACATCATTATTTTCCCTGATTCATAAATTAAAATAGTGTGCTTTCATTGCTTTGACTAATAATACTTTCTGTTTCAATCGATCTCCCTTTCCCCTACAAA